AATAACCCATCCATTAGTTAACCTTTTTATGTCCTAAAGTAAAGTGACACATAATGAGTAGTCTTTCATTACATTATCATCATCTTTACAATTAGTTCCTTAACAAAAATAATCAGACAGCAGGATTCTTGAGAAGAGTTTTATTAATTATTTTCAGACCACATACACATTAATATGACCATCCATGTTATTCTGTACAAGGTGCTGACACACCAAACCGACATCAAAGAACTAGCGGCAACGAAAGCCAACTGTTGCATCGTCTACGTCGCCTCACGTCACCCTGTGTCAGTTGCATTTGAACACACCACAAAGACTACACCCAACGCTTGAAACTGTTACTCATTTATTTTGGCACTGCCCCATTGTCAAAAGACTCTGGAGTGATATTTGTAATTTTATTGCGGACAATATTAAAAAATAATTTAAGCAGTTTTGGAGGGATGTGCTGTTTGGACTTTTTGACTTTAACAGAAATACGGCAAAACCCATTGAAAGATTTATTATTAATCTCATCTTACTTTTGGCAAGATTTCACATTCACAAATGTAAGTTTACACATAGAAAACATTTTATATTTTTAATATTTTCTTGTAAACTCTTATCCCCCCTGGCCCCTGTTATATGACATATATGTGTAATGTTGAAGATCTGCATTCTGTAAACTTCCTGTCTTAAATAAAGTTGTGGGGGAAAAAAAGAAGACTACATCCGACGGCCAAGTAGCACATACGTTCTGCGCCTGCGTGAAAGGAAATAACGCAAAAAGGGAAACCGGAAGTCCGTTGAATGCATGAGATCAACAAAGTAGCGTGGAGTGACAGAGTGATACATCCTGTCAGCCGAGGGGTTTCCTATCTGTGCAGCCGAGCACCGCAGCACTTCCACGGACTATTACATCCAGACGCTCCCCGTGTTTCCTCCACAGGCTCCACTTCACTCAACTTCACTCAGCTGCCCGACAAACCCGCTGCTTCTTCCCACTTTAACCTGAATAACAAACCAGGGCTCGGTGCTCCGGTTGGATCCAAACGGAGAGCCGGGGCTAACGTTAGCTGGGAAGCTAGCGGAGGCTAACTGGCTGCTTCCCTCCGGTCATGCTGCGGCTAACGCTCCGCTAGCCGCTCCCAGCTAGCTCCGGTTTGTTATTGAGGTTAAAGTGGGAAGAAGCAGCGGATCTGTCGGGCAGCTGAGTGAAGTGGAGCCTGAGGAGGAAGCACCGGTTAGCCCCGGTTTCACTACAGGCAGATTCGCTTGCTACAGGGAAGAGGATATAACACCTGAACAGCCAGTCAGAGGGATCTCTCTCATCGACAAGCTCCGCCGCCGACTGAACATGCTCAATCAGCCGAAAATTTGGAATGAATGATGAACTAACTATTAGTTAATGGTCAGTTCTTCAGTAAGTCCTGATCAAATTTCAGAGGAGTAGTTACTGAGGAACTAATGAGGAACTAACTGTTACTTAATCATTACCTACCTTTTTTGTGTACCCTAAAGTAAAGTGAGACATCAAAATGAGTAGGTAGTGATTCAGTACTCATTACCTACTCATTTTGATGTCTCACTTTACTTTAGGGTACACAAAAAAGGTAGGTAATGATTAAGTAACAGTTAGTTCCTCATTAGTTCCTCAGTAACTACTCCTCTGAAATTTGATCAGGACTTACTGAAGAACTGACCATTAACTAATAGTTAGTTCATCATTCATTCCAAATTTTCGGCTGATTGAGCATGTTCAGTCGGCGGCGGAGCTTGTCGATGAGAGAGATCCCTCTGACTGGCTGTTCAGGTGTTATATCCTCTTCCCTGTAGCAAGCGAATCTGCCTGTAGTGAAACCGGGGCTAACCGGTGCTTCCTCCTCAGGCTCCACTTCACTCAGCTGCCCGACAGATCCGCTGCTTCTTCCCACTTTAACCTCAATAACAAACCGGAGCTAGCTGGGAGCGGCTAGCGGAGCGTTAGCCGCAGCATGACCGGAGGGAAGCAGCCAGTTAGCCTCCGCTAGCTTCCCAGCTAACGTTAGCCCCGGCTCTCCGTTTGGATCCAACCGGAGCACCGAGCCCTGGTTTGTTATTCAGGTTAAAGTGGGAAGAAGCAGCGGGTTTGTCGGGCAGCTGAGTGAAGTTGAGTGAAGTGGAGCCTGTGGAGGAAACACGGGGAGCGTCTGGATGTAATAGTCCGTGGAAGTGCTGCGGTGCTCGGCTGCACAGATAGGAAACCCCTCGGCTGACAGGATGTATCACTCTGTCACTCCACGCTACTTTGTTGATCTCATGCATTCAACGGACTTCCGGTTTCCCTTTTTGCGTTATTTCCTTTCACGCAGGCGCAGAACGTATGTGCTACTTGGCCGTCGGATGTAGTCTTCTTTTTTTCCCCCACAACTTTATTTAAGACAGGAAGTTTACAGAATGCAGATCTTCAACATTACACATATATGTCATATAACAGGGGCCAGGGGGGATAAGAGTTTACAAGAAAATATTAAAAATATAAAATGTTTTCTATGTGTAAACTTACATTTGTGAATGTGAAATCTTGCCAAAAGTAAGATGAGATTAATAATAAATCTTTCAATGGGTTTTGCCGTATTTCTGTTAAAGTCAAAAAGTCCAAACAGCACATCCCTCCAAAACAGCTTAAATTATTTTTTAATATTGTCCGCAATAAAATTACAAATATCACTCCAGAGTCTTTTGACAATGGGGCAGTGCCAAAATAAATGAGTAACAGTTTCAAGCGTTGGGTGTAGTCTTTGTGGTGTGTTCAAATGCAACTGACACAGGGTGACGTGAGGCGACGTAGACGATGCAACAGTTGGCTTTCGTTGCCGCTAGTTCTTTGATGTCGGTTTGGTGTGTCAGCACCTTGTACAGAATAACATGGATGGTCATATTAATGTGTATGTGGTCTGAAAATAATTAATTAAACTCTTCTCAAGAATCCTGCTGTCTGTGATTTTATTTGTTAAGGAACTAATTGTAAAGATGATGATGAAGTAATGAAAGACTACTCATTATGTGTCACTTTACTTTAGGACATAAAAAGGTTAACTAATGGACGGGTTATTGAGTAATGATTCTGTACTGATGAAGTAACTAGTTCACTAATTATTAAGTCGTGATTAACCCCTCTGTGAAATTTGATCATGAGTTAATGAAGAACTGACCATTAACCAATAGTTAGTTCCTCATTCGTTCCTCAGTAGCTACTCCTCTGAAATTTGATCAGGGGTTACTGAAGAACTGACCATTAACTAATAGTTAGTTCATCATTAGTTCCTCATTAGTCCCTCAGTAACTACTCTAATTTTATGTACCTTAGTTCCTCAGTGACTACTCATTAGTTCATCATTCGTTACTCATTAGTTCCTCAGTAACTACTTTAATTTTGTGTACCTTATTGTAAAGTGTTACCGCCAATTGATGTAATATTGCTTCATTCGCATCCTCCCATGACCCTCTACCACTGTGCCAAATTTCACATGGATTGACCAAGTCAGTGAGGAGAAAAACATGGAACAGACACACCCACAGACAGAGTTTTCGTCATTATATAGTAAGAAGATATAGTAAGATAGTAAGATGGTGAAAAAGATCAAACTGACAATGTACATACAATACAAAGAAATGACACGCAAGAGGGAAAAAACAACACAAATGAGTTTATTGCAAAGGGTGTTCACTTGTTTACATGTCATAGGCTACATAAACAAACAAATGAAATAAAACCTCACTAATAATGGGAAAGTGCAAGGAATTTCAGCCTTGTTTTTATATACAAAGTCCATCAGTCAGACAGCTGCCTCAAAGAAGCTTGAGTCCAGGTGGGGGTACTGCACCAAGCAGGACTACTCAGTTACACAGGTAACTACATGTAAAAACTTCTCTGAACATTTGTTAATAAATAAAATACAAAGTTTTCAATCCAGTCGCTTGCACTGGTGAAAACTATGTTCTTGACATGTGTCCGGTTGAATGAGTGAATGTCCAAAACAATGAAGTCTTTTTGGGTGATGTTCCCTTTTCTTTGCAGAATGACAATAAAAACAGAAGTAGATAACCTTGATGACTTGATGCAAACATGAAACATGAAGTGATCCAGATTAATTCTGCATTTTATACTTTGCTGTGCTCACAGTAAGAACCATAAGTTTCCACACATAAGCTCAAAATGACTTCAACTTCCACTGTGACCTTAAAACACCTGATTCAAATCATCTGTGACCAATGTTACCTCATAGACTATACACACATGCCATCTAGTGGTCAAAAGTGTTATAGTCTATACATACAATTCATACACAACTAGAAAAGCACTCAGAGAGTGCAGACCTCCGTCAAGTGAGTGATATTTCCTCCCCCACTGCATCAGTTTTTGCAGCCTGCATCACAATTAGGTTATTTGCATCCCTATCATTATTAGGTTATATATGCCTTCACCATGGAGACACTGTGGTGTATTTTTTTCGTTTTTATTTCGTACCAACATAGAATATAATGTGTTTTTTGTATTTTTCACTTTCTTTTTTTCCAACACAGAACATTAATTTTAACTTTAGAATTACAACAATATTTAGCAAGTAGAACAAGACGTGCTTTCCGGCCACCAGATGGCGCTATTTTCACCGTCTTAATTGCTGCTGAGGCTGTCAGACCATAGACTTTATTTATTATTTTATCCACTTTGCTTCAACCGATCACCACCAAAATTGTATCATCTGTTCCTTGTCCCGTTATCAACCTTTCCTGAAAATTTCATCAAAATCCGTTCATAACTTTTTGAGTTATTTTGCAGAAAAACAAACAAACAAACAAACAGACAAATAAACCACCAACGCCGGCGAAAACATAACCTCCTTGGCGGAGGTAACTATGCATTAGAATATAAATACACATGCTAAATGGTTCCTTGAACCAATACTGACTAAAGAGGTCAAAGTTGGTACAACCCCTGAACACTGTCTGACGTATAACTCCGTGCCATACAGTACCCACTAACGCCTCCTCACAGCCCTGATGACTGAGTCCTAACTTCAGTTCCCATGGAGCCCTCTCAGTGCGCATCCACGGCACTGGAGCGCTTATCTTTCAATAACACTGCGTTGAAAAAGCTGCCGGTGGATGACTCGGATGAGCCCGGGTCCCGAACGGTCCAAGCGGCATGTTTCTCCAGAATCCGGGCTCTGCAGCCCCTGGTGCGCCCGACCTTCGTGGCCCAGTCCCAGTCTGCGCTGGCTCTGCTCGGCCTGACTGTGCAGGAAGTGTTGGGTAATCCTGTGGGGCCGGAGTATCTGAGCGGCTCCAGGCTGCTGCCGGGCTCCCAGCCGGCTGCGCACTGTTACAGCGGACACCAGTTCGGACTGTTTGCGGGACAGCTGGGGGATGGAGCGGTGATGTATCTGGGGGAGGTGGAGTCCGGCACCCATGGGCGATGGGAGATTCAGGTGAAAGGCGCAGGAGTGACACCTTACTCCAGGTAATTTTTGCTGTGTGCAACATATTTGGATCAGTTTATGTATAATGATCCACCTTAAGGACAGGTTATAGCTCTGGGACAAAATGCTGGATGCAGTTTCCTCTGACCAAATGAGAATATGTTCATTTCAGCAGGTGACACAGCCAGTCTTTTATAAGCTTTGCTCACCAGAGGCATGTGAATGCACTAACCCAAGCAGAGCTGCTTAAAAGCTTAACTGCTTGGCACATATCATTGCTTAACAGCTGTGCGCTGAGGAGAACCAGAACACCTATAGTTCCTCCAGATGATTTAGTCTGTTTACACACACAGATAGTATAAGGAATATTTGAGAGCATAGAGAATATATGAATATTTTTGTGTAGTATAGGCAGTGCTACACCTCCGTCCAAAAAATAAAAAAAAATAAAATAAGAGCTAATTATGAAAAATATCAAGAGCAAATTAAACTTTGAGACATTCACTCTTGACTGACAAAAATAATAAAAACAGGATAATAGAGATCCATACAAGAGGGGGTATAGCACGAGTCTCAATCCGCTCAAAAACAATCAAAATAATATAATTAAATTTGAATAAATAAACACACTGAAAGTGACAGTGAAAATAATATATACAAACAGGAATAAAAAAAACAAAAACAAAAAATTGGCAGGGCAAGACAAAACAAAAAAAAATCACACTTCCAGGCCCCCAGATTATACAAATTAATGCCAAACCCCCCCTCAGAATGGCCCTTGAGCACGGTTAGTCATCCTAGTCAACATAGATTCATAAGATTTTTTAACATAAAGTTGACCCATTCTTTTACTTCTGGGGGCTTCGTTGACTTTGACATTGACACTAAATTAATATTCTTGTGTAGTATAGACAGTGCTAGACCCCCGTCAAAAAAAGAACAAATTTTAAAAGCTAATTATGAAAAATATCAAGAGCTAATTAGACTTAAACACAATTGTTTAGGTAACAATAGTAATAATAAGAATAAGAATATGGTATAATACACTATGTGAAAATTTGCAAAATTCACCTTCATTTTTTTATTTCTTTTTTATTTATTTATTTGTTTTGATGCTACACTCAAGATGGCCTTTGCCTTCTCATTTTCTCTTACTCTAATGCTCTCCGCATGCACTCCACTTCACCATACCCATCAATGCTCTAGCCTGTGATGATCACCCAATGACTAGAGGACTATGGTACCCTTACTACAGACTGACCATTGGTGTTTAGACTAGACTTTAAAAAAAAAAGTATTTATGTATTTATTTTTTCACATTTTGCTGCCCCCTCCTCAGGGTTGCACCCTTATTGGCTACCTATGTTGCCTATAAGAAAAGCCGCCACAGTGTATAGGCTATGCATGTCTTAAAAAGTAGGGGGACATTGTAACCTGACATGGAATGTGAAAGCATATTCCTGAACTGTGAAACATGACATCAAAGCTCTTAACAAACTCAAGATCGACTTACTAGCCCTTTCCTAAGCTTTCAACTACTTCTCATAGTTTTATTGGTAAATGCAGTTTGTTCAGTTGACAAAGTGAACTCTCAAGAAAAATCAATTAAATTAACCTTTTTTTTTAATTTAATTGCCCATTGGGCAAACTCCATGCACTAAGAGACACTGTGAGATCTAGTTGAAAGATAAGGAAAAAGATAGTAAGAGGACCTTAAGTGATTTTTTTTTTTTTTTTTTTGTGAAATCACATGGTTTTGATCAATGGCCGAAATATGAAGAAAAGGACAGATAAATAATGCTGTTTTTTAAAAGCTCTGGAACTTTACCAGAACGTATGAGACAGTTTGCAAGTTAAACTACTGTAAATGTAATCCAGTACCAATCATTTTTCATTGGATAACTAAATTAATTTATCTGGCTGACACAAAATACATAACCCACTGGTTAATCAGAGCTGAATATCAAAAAAATCTGTGTGACACATTTTCTCAGAGATGGCGATGGCAGGAAAGTGCTTCGCTCCAGCATCAGGGAGTTCCTATGCAGCGAGGCCATGGCTGCCCTGGGGATACCCAGCACCCGTGCAGCCTCCCTTGTGACCTCTGACCTTTACGTCAGCAGAGATCCACTCAACAGTGGCAGGCGCATTTCTGAGCGCTGCTCAGTCGTCCTGCGTGTCGCCCCTTCCTTCATCAGGTAGGAAACATTTAAAGTCTTTACAGGCACACACAAAAAATTGACTGTAGTGCTATTTGTGACAAATATTGACATTTTATTTTTTGTTTCAGATTTGGTTCTTTTGAGATCTTTCTAGGCCGCGATGATTTCTCAGGTCTGCAGGGTCCCAGTGCAGGGCGGCATGACATTCGCGCTCAGCTGCTGGATTACGTCATTGAGACTTTTTATCCTTGCATCCATCAGGCTCATAGTGACCGGAAAGACAGGAATATGGCTTTCTTTAGAGAGGTGAGGATCGAGGTGTTAATAAGATGAGTGCTAATAATGACAGATGCTGTTTAAGGCTTTGTCTCTCTTTAGGTTGGTTCATTTTATGTTGGTGCTTTTTGCATTTTGATCCTCAGATTTGACCTATTTATTCCCAGGTGATGATGAGAACCGCTAAGCTAGTGGCCCAGTGGCAGTGTGTTGGTTTTTGCCATGGTGTCCTTAACACAGACAACATGAGCATCTTGGGTCTCACTCTGGATTATGGCCCCTTTGGTTTCATGGACAGGTAGGCTGCTGAGAGTGGAAGTGCATTTATTTATTTGACCAGAGTGTCCTCTTAGCTTTTACCTCTTAGATTACTCTCGATCTGAAGAACTGGTTCCCAAGCTTGTCTCAATAAAGTTCACCATAGACCATAAAAATAATGGATGCAGCTGATGTTACCCACTGGTTTGTGGACTCCCATTTTAAAGCCTCGAGTTCAGCATTTTGGCTGTCGCCACCTTGTGTTTTTTTTTCGGCAAAGAGTGGAGCTGTGAAGGAATGAGAGTTGGATCTGACTCAGAGATTATGGTGACACCTCACAAACAGCCTGACTCTCAAAGTGGCCCCGCCCTCAATTAATTATGCATAACGTTGAGCCTTAAAATACACAAAGTTAGTATGGTAGATGCTAGCTTAGTCAACACAGTGCATTTACAGCCATGGTTAACAAAGATAATGCTAATGCTAATTTTTTGCTTGTGGAAACCGAGACCAAAACCGTTAATTGTAGAAGCCTGTAAATATGTTGATTTCCATTGTAAAGTTGGGTATTCTAACATGGATAGATGCATTGACCATAGAATGCATAAGAGAATGGACATAGCCACCATGACGTCACGTATTGCTTTGTGGATTCCCATTTCTTGCTTCGAGTCTGGCATTTCCGTTGTTGCCATCTTGGATTTTTGGAGCCAGAAGTGACCATACTTAGACGAAGAGTGGAGCTGTGGAAAAGTGAGGGGTGGATCTGACTCAAAGACTGTGGTGACACCTCACTGACAGCCTGTCACTCAATGTGGCCCCGCCCTTAATTAATTATACAAAAATTTAAGCCTCAGTAAAATTTAAATAGGTGAGCTATATAAAAATTCTATCTCTGTACAGTTGTCAAGAATGTTGAAATTAGCTATAGAGACCAAAACCAGTTTTTGTACCAGACTGAAAACATGTTTATTTCTACTGTAAAGTTTGACGTTTTAACATGGGTGTCTTTTGGGTTTGACTTGCTTTTGGAGCCAGCCTCTAGTGGCCATTAGGGGAACTGCAGTTTTTGGCACCTCTGCGTTTCCTTCATTTTTCAGCTCACCACTTGAGTTAAACTTAAAAACAATTTCAGCTCTGCCTTAGTGAAATGGTTAATCAGATTACAGTCTGTTTGGACATACATTAAGGAAAAATATACACATTGTACACATTATATAATTACTCATATGATATTATATATGAAAACTTTTCCACCCGTGTTTCAGATTTGATCCAGATTTCGTTTGCAACTCCTCTGACAAGAGAGGGCGGTACTCCTATCAAGCCCAACCATCTGTGTGTCGCTGGAACCTGGCTCGTCTGGCAGAGGCATTGGGCTCTGAGCTGGATGCAGCTGAGGCAGGGGCTGTCCTGGATGAATTCATGCCAGCATATGAAGCCTTCTACTTGTGTATCATGAGAAAAAAACTGGGCCTTGTGAGAAAAGAAGAGGCAGAGGACAGGGAGCTCATATCAGACCTGCTGCGCCTCATGCACAACACTGGTACAAATAGTTATGAGACAAAGTTGGAAATGTCAGAAAAACTTTTCCTGGTAATGCTTCTGCAGTCTTGGCATGGTGCTATAATATAATGTGTTTCTAGGTGCAGATTTCACCAACACCTTCCGCCTGCTGAGCCATGTCCCCTGGCCTGAGGAGGGCGAGAATGAGAGGGCCACAGTGGGGCCATTAGTGGACCTCATCCTAGAGCAGTGTGCCTCTATTGAGGAGCTTAAGGTGGCTAACAAGCCAACTATGGAGGACCGGTGAGGGAGTGTATGGTGGTTGGATACATGTGTGTGAGCAGCTACTGTATTATAAGAACAAACTGTCTCTAGCTGCCCCACCATATACTCCTAAAAAATATGCATTTAATCCAATCTGAGTAGTGCACAGTTCAAATGACTGAATCTCTCTCCTCATCTAATTTGTATTTCCTTTTAAATGCTAGCATTTTGGGGAAAAATCTAACCAAGACAATATGTAAGTGAAATGTGTGTCTTGTAACATTTGGTAGGATTTATGTTGAGAGCACCAGAGTTGTGGTTAACATCACTTACCTCTAGCATTCTCTCCTTTTCTAGTGAGCTGGCGATGATTCTGTCCATGGCACAAACCAACCCAGTCATGTTTGGGATGGTGGCAGACAGTCCAGCTGTGTCTCAGCAACTGGAACGGATGGGACGGCTAAAGGAGCTGCTCGAGACAGATCAGGATGAGCTTAAGAAAAAGCAGCGCGATGACTGGATTTGCTGGGTTAGCCGATACAGGTAAGTAAAAGAGATAGATTTCTAAGTTCCCCTCAGGAGTGTCTTATCTTTTTAGGTTTTGGTTCCACTGCCCACAACAAGGCAGCTGTTTTCAATAAAAGACATTTGATGAACCCACTACACGCTACCTGCTTAGCACCAAACAGCAGATAAAATTAGCAGTTAGCTTTTGAATGTATTGCAACATTCAGCAGAAGAGCTGGATATTTCCCTCAAAACAGGGGCAGGCAGAAATGTGGAAAGACAAAAAAATACATTCACATCCTGCAGCTCTCACCTCTCTCTCCCAAGCCCCTCCCATTAGATGACCACAGTCATATGCATGCGCAGACCGCAAATGAGACAAGAATTAGCTACCTAGCGAACCCATGTAACCTCCACCTCATTCCCGGCCACTGTGAACTGCTTCACTGGGAGGAAAAACTCCCCAGCACCAGGTGTCACAGTGTGCTCATGGCCGCAACCAAAAGTTTACTAATCTGGCAGGTAGTCGGGGCTGTACCGTCCCCTGGAGGGGGGCTTGTACTAGCTGGATTCGGGTTGCTGCGGCCGCTGGCTTGGTGTCCTTCTCCGGAGCAGTGTTGCCAGATCTCGTGAGACAAATAAGCAACCAGGCCTGTGAAAACAAGCCCAAAACAAGCGACTTTTTCTACAGAGCTCCCCTAGGTTCCAGTGAGAGAAAATTAAATAAACTGTGTGCACAGTTGTACAATCCGTGGGGACAGATTTTAAACTGTGGGTACAGATTGTCAATTTACATCCATGTGGACAGATAAGTAAACTGTGCACAGTTTTGCAAAACTGTACCCACAGTACACAGTTTATTTCTTTTTCTCCCCCCTGAGCTTCAGGACAATGACCACAAGAGGGAGTTAAACCACCTTTTAACATTAATTAACATTAGAAAACAGATGGGATATCAAATATAGACTGATGTACCAAGTACATTATATAAACAGTAAACCTCTGATAATTAAAATTTGCACACACAAATAAATATCATCCTGAATTCACAATTTTTTTATTTATTATTGCTTTTTATGCATTCATCTAACTTTTTTCTTTTAGTTACAGGACTGACATTTTCCTAACCAGAAAAAAAAACACATTGCCCTGCTCTGCCTCTGATTGACTAGTACTCGTTGCCATCAGGGTCAGAGCCAATTAGAAGCAGGATGCGGGTGGGAAAAACCTCTGCTGTCTCCTGTGAGTATGGGGAAAGGGAGGGACAGAGGGAACAGGCAAGACAAACTATCCTACGTTTAAATAACATATCGAAAATATCTGCTTGACAACTTATTATGGAGCTGGGAACAAGCCCAAATAAGCAATTACGCTTTAGAAACAAGCCCAAAAAAAAAACGCGACCCGCGACTACCGATATTTGTAAGCGACTTTACAGAAAAACAAGCCCAAAGTCGCTTATAATAAGCGGACTTGGCAACACTGCTCTGGAGCTGCTGCCTTCTCCTGGTGAGGTGGTCTGCAGCAGCAGGGTTTTCTCTAAGTCCACTTAAATTGTTAAGTTGCTCTAAGTTTATTATGGATTTTTTTTGCTTAGTGATGCCAAAATAAACTCCCTTCCCCAGCTTTAAGGACTATGTGGAGACCAAAATAGAGCTAAAAGGAGAGTGAAAAATTTCTTGGTGGCCAAAAACATGACCCAAATTCATTAGTTTTGTACAGTTACATATATGACACTAACATAGTAGTGTATATGTGTACTTGAACCCAGTGATGTTAGAATATATGATATTCATACATATACAAAATTCTTTCAATTTTGAAAATGCACATATATGGCACTCCACTATATGTATGACATATGTGATTCCAGCATATATGATATCTATTATATTTCCCTATGAGATAAATCAACTAATTTATTTTTCTTTACCAATCTCTCTTGCACTGAAAAACCAGGAGGCGTTTAGCCAGGGAGTGTGATGGCACAAGCGACTTGTCTCTCATCAAAAAGGAGAGGCTCAGTGTGATGAACAACACCAACCCCCAAGTTGTCCTACGCAACTACATCGCCCAGAATGCAATTCAGGCTGCAGAAAAGGGAGACTTCTCGGAGGTCAGGAGTCCTATGAATGTCTCTGACTTTGTCAAAATCTCCATTGGGACATCTAGATCCATTACAGCTGTTATAAAAGGCAACATGGAGTTCAGTAGTGTTTCACAGGGTTCCCCCCAGAGAGTAGTTAGCCAACATTTGCCCTCAAAGGGAGGAGGACAGGGTTGTGAATGTGAGACACTATATCTGAGTTGGCCACTAGGTGGAGACAAAAAGCCATCAGTGGGACAGACAGTAATCAATCAATCAATCAATCAATCAATCAATCAATTTTATTTATAAAGCCCAATATCACAAATCACAATTTGCCTCACAGGGCTTTACAGCATCCCTCTGTCCGTAGGACCCTCACAGCGGATAAGGAAAAACTCCCCAAGTAGTAGTAAACTAAATGTTGCTGTATGACCAAGAGATGCTTTCATGGACTGGGATGTCTCAGTGGAGTTTGTCTAGAGCAATGTTGATTTTGTATTTCTATGAGAGCAATTTGAATCCTATTTTCAAGGACTAATAGAAGTAACCCTATCTGTACCAGGTCAACAGGGTCCTCAAAGCTCTGGAGACACCATATTCTGATGCAGTTGGGCCAGAGCCTTTGGATGGACTTAATGCGTGTGGTGAAAAGGAGCAGAACATGAGAGAGCCTGCCTACAGCAGGAAACCTCCTGCCTGGGCACAAAGGATTTGTATCACCTGATCATCTTAGAGCCTCCCAGACAAGTTAAAGAGAGAGGTCTGTTTCCGCTGGTGGACCATTTCAGAGCAAACAAGATGTGGCTGACTGCTACTACTGTTGCTGCTCTCCACTCCCACCTCAGACTTTCTTTCCTGATCCCTGAAAGGAGGATGTTATATAACCAAGTGTGTTCCAGGGTTTATCAGCCTGTTCATAGATCTGTTTGTGTGATCATGATGATTTTATTGCAGTGTTTAAAGCTGTTGAAGAGTAATACATAGACTGTGTTCCTTACGTTGAATTTGACTAAATTTGACAGAATCCTTACAAGTAGTCAATGAATTTGCTGATGAAGTATGATGGCTCAGATGACCAGTCACACGATGACCTGTCTGGGCCTGAAACACCAGGAACACACTGACATCAATTAATTACAGAAAGTGGACTCATAAAGTCAACGTGTCAAGTCATAGATATGAGAACACTGATTACCATTATTTTTTTGAAGCTACTGTAACTAGGAAATGTAAAATGATTGTTGGGATTTTACGTCTAACATTCTCATGAAGTTTGAAATAAAAGATCACATGCTGTTTATCACAAAGTGTGTAAATTGCGAGGTTTGTTTTAATCCTACACACATTAGGCATGAGCTCAGTATTTTAAAGGTCCAGTATGTAAGATTTATGGGGATATATTGGCAAAAATGGAATATAATATGATAAGTATTGTGATGATCCCTGTGTCGTAACAAGTATGTTTTCTTTAGTCTTTAATTCTGGGAGAGATAAGAATTCTTGTGTTTTCCTTACCTTAGAATGAGATGTTTATGTCTACACAGGAAGTGGGTCCTCGTCTGTGGAGATAACCGTATTGCACTGCCATGTTTCTGCAGAAGCCCAGAATGGACAAACCAAACACTGGCTTTAGATAGGGTCATTCACGTTTTCGTATCTGCTTCAATATGTAAAAGCCCCTCCACAATGAGCAAATGAGTGTTTTTACTCATTTAAATCACCTAATGTGTTTGTTTTGGAGAGGAAGAGACCACTGCTCACAGTGAAAACCACCTGAACATCTGGGTCTTAGGTTATCAATGAAAAAAAGTGCTCACACATTAGCAGTTGCTGGGCTAGAAAGACATGACATTGCTTTATTTGGTGTTTTAACCAGTGATGGGCAGTAACAATGTACAGTCATTTCAGTACTTGAGTATCTGTACTTTACTTGAGTTATTTCTTTGGAAACTTTGACTCCACTACATTTGAAAGACAAATATTGTACTTTTGAGTCCACTAAATTTCAAAGAAGGCTGAGGAAAAAGCTTTGGAGAGTCCAGATGGCCACTGGGACTTCATATTTTTTAATAAGTAAATGATTCTGACTATTAGAAATAATGCATACATTTTTCTTGTTTCAACAATTAATCAAGCCTCTAAAATCATCTTTGACTTTACCAAGCAATATCCTTTGCTTAATAATTTCTTCCATCTGAGTTTAATTTATAAATTTAGTTATGTTTTTATTGCAAACACATAAAAATGTGACATATACATGTGGCCATCTGTCTGACTTTTCAGTTGTTTTTGGCTTGATATGTTGTAGTGTCATTTGTCCAACAGATGGCACAAACCAGATGTATTTCCAAGTGACAGAGTGGGCTCTGTGAATCAGGTCTGGTTCGTTTGTTTCTGTCCCTCTGCACCTTAAATGACCAGCACTTTCTTAGGAGTCTTTCTTTCTTTCAAAAAGTTACTTTCTTGCTTGCTCTCTTGCTTTCCTGCCATCTTTCTTTCTTGCTTGCTTTTTTTTTTCTCTTTTGGCTTTCTTGCTTCCTTTCATGCATTAGTGCTTTCTTGCATGCTTGCTTTGTTGCTGTCTATGTCTGTTTGTTTAGATTAGGCCAGAGGTGTCAGACTCATTTTAAGTCATGGACCACATACAGCCTAATTTTAGTGGGCGGGACCAGTAAAACCATTGAATAACAAACTATAAATGACAGCACCCCCAAATTCAAGCAAGTTAAGATATCTCCTGCCTTATAAACCTTTTACAAATCTTAAGTTTTAGCAGTGTTAGCAGCATTAGGGCTCCACCAATATTGTTTTAAGATAGACCAGGTCTGATACAGAATTTTTTATACTGAAGCTATAGTGAATGACAATATTTTGCACAAAGTTTAATGCTTTAAATGTGACCACATACCCCCAATTCTTTGTTCATGATTTGCCAGAATTGATGGCGGGGCCTCTTAAATGACGCACACCTGGGCACTCGCTAGCCTGTTCCAATGTTTGTTCACCGAATTCTAGGAAGGAGCCTTGCCTAACCCAGGTCCCACTGCACCAGCATAAGGTCAGACAATCGCTCTGAGGATTTCATCCTGGTACCTGACAGCAGTCAGGGCACCATGGAGGTCTGTGTGACTCTCGAAGGATATGCCTCCCCAGATCATCGCTGACCCACCGCCAAACCAGTCATGCTGGATGATGTTACAGGCAGCATAATGTTCACCACGTTTCCAGACTCTTTCACGCCTGTCACATGTGCCCAGTGTGAACCTGCTCTCATCTGTGAAGAGAACAGGGCGGCAATGGCGGACCTGCCAATCTTGGTGTTCTCTAGTGAATACAGTGCTGGGCGGTGAGCACATGTCCCACTAAAGGATGTTGGGCCCTCGTGCCACCCTCATGGAGTCTGTTTCTGACAGGTCAGAAACATGCACACCAGCAGCCTGCTGGAGGTCATTTTGTACGGCTCTGGCAGTGCTCCTCCTGTTCCTCCTCACACAAAGGAGCAGATACTGGTCCTGCTGTTGGGTTGATGCCCTTCTAAGGCCCTGTCCAGCTCTGCTAGTGTAACAGCCAGTCTTCTGGTATCTCCTCCATGCTCTTGAGACTGTGCTGGGAGACACAGCAAACCTTCTTGTGACTGCACATATGGACAAGCTGGACTACTTATGCAATCTGATTGGGCTGCAGGTACCACCTCATGCTACCAGTAGTGACAAGGACACTACCAGAACACAAAACTAGAGTAGAGTCAGTCAGGAAGGATAAGGAGAGACCAACTATCTATGGCCACCACATATAAAACACTCCCTTTTTGGGGGTTGTCTCGCTTTTGCCTTTCCATTGCACCTGTTGTCACTTTCATTTGCACCAAAGTAAATGAAATCTCCTGAATGGACAGACTGATTTCCCTTAAGTTTAAATGACTTGGTGTAATACTGTGAAGATCAAGTGTTCCCTTCATTTTTTTAGCAGTGCAATTTGACAAGGCAGCTTTTACTTGTATTGGACTAATATTTGACTAGGAGTATCTATACCCTGACTCAAGTAATAGAGTTGAGCACTTTGTCCACCACTGCTTTTAACCAGATTAAGTCACTGGGTCCATTTGTTTTGGAGAATAGACCTTTGCAGATAATTTGGCTCCCGGTAAAAATCTCCTTATGGTCTGGATCAAAAAAAGGTGACGTGCTAAACAGCATGGAAGAAAGACTGATTGTATCGTGAAACTGTTTTACTCTGTATTTTTACATATTTTAGAGAGAAAGAGACCTCTAATATCTGTGGATAATTCAGCTCACAGTAAAAGTCTCCTTAACAATGAACACCGAAGGAATTCTAACTGGGAGAAGTTTCAGCTGGTTGCAATCTTCAATCCTCACCACTAGCTGCCACTAAATCCCCCTAAATCTTACACACAAGAGCTCTAAAGGCCCTGGAAATTTCAGAGTCTTACATTAACTATGATCATACATGAAAAGAAGTTATTTTTTTCTTTTGCCAGACTCAGAAAGCTATTTTTATTTATCTATTTATTCTTTACATGATTATATCTGGACATGCGTGTTTGTTTGTGCCTTTTTCACTGTCTTGAAGTGACTCAGGCCTAGTGATAATGGTAATGTCACAAATTTTAGTGCAACCTATAAATCAAATGGTAGCGGTAGGGTTGTTAAACCAGGCTACTGTCAAAAAAATCTGATGAAACCACTCCCTGACAGTGTTGAAAAGGCAGTTTAGCCGAGGTTTGGAGTGTTAAGCTCTTTATAAATATTAACTTAAACTTTTTTTTTCATATGCAGCCTGTTTAATCGTGAAGATTTATTCTTATAGAGCAGTGATGTAGGAAAATAGTGGCCCATGGGCAGAACTCAGCCCTCAATCCAAAATATTTGGCCCATGATAAAAATTTCAACTTCCATAGCATCAAAGCTTTTGCATGATTTTTCACATATCTACTGTAGATAACAATGGAAAGGCCAGGGTCATGTAAATCTAATTAAATATGTATGATTTAATACTGCCACCGCATGAAACATGCAAACCTCATTCTGCACCAGACTGTAAAAACAGCGCATGGTGCCACAACTTTTCATGTTATAGAAAATGCCTTTGATGTGAAACCAACAAATGATGTATTGCGATTTAACAGACAGTTGTATTTATAACAGCTTTTTTAAATCATTCATCAGAGACCTAATGTATATTGTTTTATCAAAAAGTTACTAGTGTATTTTTAGTCACTGCAAACTTGTAATATAAGTGGAGTATTATACCCTACACTTATTAGGGTTATGGTAGCAGTGTTGACATATAAACACAGGATAGATGTAATTCATTCATTCATTCATCTTCTAACCGCTTCATCCTCTTGAGGGTCGCGGGGTGGCTGGAGCCTATCCCAGCTGACATTGGGCGAGAAGCAGGGTACACCCTGGACAGGTCGCCAGACTATCGCAGGGCTGACACATAGAGACAGACAACCACACACGCTCACATTCACACCTACGGACAATTTAGAGTTATCAATTAACCTAGTCCCAATCTGCATGTTTTTGGACTGTGGGAGGAAGCCGGAGTGCCCGGAGAGAACCCACGCTGACACGGGGAGAACATGCAAACTCTGCACAGAAGGGCTCCCACACCCGGGATCGAACCGGGAACCCTCTTGCTGTGAGGCGATAGTGCTAACCACCACACCACCGTGCCGCCCGATAGATGTAATTAATTATTTGAATTAAAATACCTAGTGTGTGGCACTGATCACATATTTCTTTGACATATTATTAACTGTATTGCTGTAACCACAGTGCTAGTTCACTGCCTTTCTTGTTTTCTCATAGGTCCTGCTCCTGCCTGTGAAAAGGAAATACATATTTACCTACTGACTTTGCACTCCTGACAGGAAGCACTGAGTTGTGCCTTGCATACTGCAAACATATCACAATAGTGCACTAACAGCCTATCAAAAAGACATGCAAACACACTAGAGCTGAACTCCTGCGTCTCATGAGGGAAGGACAGTCATGTTCCCTTTTTTATTTTTATCTGGTCACCAAAACATGAACTTAACTGTACATGTGACGCAGTGTGAAACTAATAATGTTGCATAAAGTACTACCGGGAGTCTCTTTTCACAAGCTTACATTCTTTTACTTCACTATTATGCTTTTCATCAGTCTCCCCTATACGTGCATACCACCCACTTGACCAACTGGCTCAACTTGTTTCAGCATGCATGGGACATAAACAGTCTTATGGTAAGCTGATAACAGGGTTGGGAACAAAGCATTTACTGTAAAC